TGTGGTTAGATATAATGACTTTATGGTTTATATTGTAAGCTTTCGTTGCGTCCGTTCCTACTGCTGTGCGTACTGCGTGGCTGTGTTGAAAAACTTGTAAAATGTTTTCCCACAAGAGAGAAAGTAAATTTTGTATACCCAAATGAAAACGGAATCTGATTTGAACCGGATGGTACTTATCATGTCGTTCAAATCACCAGGAAACACGTGTGGCCAGCATCTTTTCAGCGAGCTTGCAGACAGTAGTAGTCAATGAAATCGGGCGTAAGGATTGCAGTGTATACTTTTCTGGTTTTGTAATTGGGACGACAACTGGTTGTTTCCGATCAGATGGGGCGTCCCCAGTCTACCATGCTTTATTAATAGCCTGCAGAAGTGTACCAAGAGCTTTAGCTTCCATATTCTTTAAAAATTTGTTAGGAATACCGTCGGGACCAGATAGTGTTGTTTTTTCTTGAGAAGTTTCAATCGCTGCTAATCGTTTGGCAACGTGGAAAGTACTGCATATATTGGATTTGGCAATTGGGTCAGGCTAGTCAATTTCGGGGCATGTTATAGAAGATGCGCTGTCACACGTTGCGGAAAATGCTCTTGCCTTCTCTGCAAATTCTTGTGGCGTACTTTGCATCGCTAACCTAACGCTTGCTGCAGAGTCATGTTTCTTATGACCGTGTCCCATCGACCGGAACGCATGGCGAAGAGCTCTGTTTCCCATGCCAGATCCAAGTTTCTCACGCCACTCATGCCACCGCCATCGAGAGAGCTGCTTCTCGTGCCGACGCGCCTTTGCTGCCATACGGTCATACAGGTTGGCTGCCATACGGTGCTGCCATACGCGCCTTTGCTGCCATACACTTAGAATCCCGAAGGCATGCAGTTCCACCTGACGTCGCTTCGGCCGAAATTGCAAAAGAGCGAAGTCCGTTTGAGGTTGTCTTTCGTTTAACATATTCCTGATCGTGCTTCTGATCGCGATGACGAACAGAGTGTGCTCGCACCCACCACACCGTGGCCATGGATTAGCTCAAAATGGCTGGTTGGAGGTTCGAAGCAAAACTTCAGTCCCTTTTCCAGGGTGTCTTTGATGTCGCCCGGGACGTTGACGTTGCCCAAGTTCGTGACTGTGCGCTCCGACGTAGAAGCTCGTCGAATGGACGCAAGAGTAAGACTGCGCTGTTTGTCCAACAAACTCGGTCCTTTTCTCAGATAGCAAGAGTTGTTTGCCTTATCTGGGAAAGACCAAGGTCTTGTCGAAGGTCAATTAGAGAACGAAATGGAAGTCATTTAGGCGTTTTTGATTGCAAAAAGGGGAGATAGCCGTGTCAGCTCTCCTTCGATATCATTATCAAGGGACGAAATACAATTCCTATGTAGACCCATGAAGTCACTCCTACGTACGTGATATGCATGCGCACGTTTTTTTTTTACGTTGTCATTGCGACGGTGTCTTGTTCTTTGTGTTCTCTTACCCATAAATTCATAAACTTTCTGCAAAATAAAGTTAGTTAAAAGTTTTGTGCTTGTGTGTGTGCTCCACTTTTCTTCCTGTCTTCATCGTGAAGTTTAGGCCTTTTTGAAACCATGAACTGACAAGCTCTACCACGTGCCTTGTTTAAGACTTAAACGTTGGTAGCTATTCCGGTGAGCCATACCTATATCTGTAGGCATTATTCACTCTTTATATTTTGCACGCGTATAACTTTTTGTGAGTTAGAAGGAGATCCAATTTTCTTGCTGACCTATGACACAAACACATAAATACTACACTGAAGAGCTGATCAGAGAGGAAGGGAATGATAGAGACTTATTTATGTTAGAATGAGACACCCAGTGTCTCAAACTTTGGCGTTTTCTGTCCAACATAACTTATACGACATTTTGCAACGATGACCAATGAACCAAGCCAGGTCGACTCTGTGCCTCGCCGGATTATGAGGAAATGAATTTTCTACTTCAATTCATTTGCAAACCAGCGAACACTGTGTTTTGTAACAGATAAAAATGACACCGTCTTCCGCTAAAAGGAACCATCTGTAGATGCGAAGCAGCGGGCGCTAGCGCTTACACTGGCGGCGACGTTGACGCTGGCTCTCATCACCGCGTTGCGCAGGAGAGAAACCTGGGGAGGCGCAAAGCACGTAGTGATGGGCAACGAGAGACAAAGGACTCCGGTTGGACACAGAAACCCCTCTGTCCGCTTTTAGGCAAACCGCGTGCAGCGAATGTTTATTGTTCAACAACGCGGAGGAGAAATTTCCCACCGGCACTACCTTAGAGGTAATGCCTTGGAGGCAGTGCCGGTGGGACACGGTGTGGCCAGTGAACGGTTGGGCAGCACGAGCAGGCGCTGCCTGTGTCTGTGTTGCGAAGCGAGAAAGGAGGACCGTAAGAAAAGAGTGAGAGGACGGGGGACGCGCATGCGCAATGTGAGTGTAAACGCCGCGGCGATGAGGGCAGGTAGGCCTAGGGGGAGAGAGGGAGGAGCGGTTGTTGGCTAGCTGACACTTTCTGTGTCGGCGTTGCGAGGCGAGAGAGGAGAAAAAGGGGGAGCAGACGCGCATGCGCAGTAAGGGTGGTCCCGCCGCACACTGGATTGACCTGGACCCCAAGCTGCTTCGCATCTAATAAGCACTTTTCGTTAAGTTTCGTGTTTCGATAAGTTTTAGATGCGGAAGCATCTTATACTCGCGCCTTGTAGTGCGCCGTCCGCGCCGTCCGCACCGCTTCTCGAACATTCGACAGCTAACGCGCGCGCATGCGCCGTCGCGCCGTCGCCCACTCTTCCACCATCTGTGCATCCCTTCCTCCTCTACACACCGCGCGCGCTTCACTCCTCCACCATCTGTGCACCCTTCCTCCTCTACACACCGCGTTCGACATCTACACGGAGGAAGGAAAAGGTAAGGAGAGGCCCTGACGTCACTCGTTGTGAGGCCGCGATGAAGCCAGAAGTCGGCCATATTGAGTAGGCAAATTCTCCTCTCTTGTTTACATATGAATACGAAGCAGAAGGCGCGACTCCCTCTCCGGCTCGGAAAGCACGTGGGCTGCGTAGCGCGTGTGTCGTGACGATCCGAAACTAATGGAACTGGGCTCATCACTCAGAGCCAGCGGGACACCTTCAGCGAAATCGCTTCGTCCGAGTAATAACAAAAAGTAACAGCTCGCTGACAACGAAGCAACTACGAAAGAACGCGCGCTAGATGCACTGACAACGGCGAGTGCTTTCACGTCATTAATTCAGCAACTGTACAGACAACACGATCGGTCGTGCGCCTTCTACGGTTGCATTCCGCCACGCGACTGACGCAGCGTCCTGTCACCGTGTCCGTGTTCTGCGTGAAACTCACCTGCGTCAGCATTCTGCGACCGTGGTGACTTTGAGCACGGTGCTAGTGAGAGTTGAACGTGGTTGCTGTTACGTTGAGATTACATGCAATGCTGGTAGAGAGTGTACGAAGCGGAACAGAAAAGGTGTTTTAATACGCACATGCAAGTTGTTACTGTACACACACAACACGAAACTACGTATGTGCACATGGTCCTCACGGCGTCTTGCTGGGCTCAACAGCGTCGTCCGTTGTCACAAGCAGGAGCACTGCTCAACCGTCACTGACCTGCAAGGCGTTCGTCGTCATTCAGCTTCGTCATGGTGCCCAACGCCATTTCGCTGAACACTAACTGCGTCATCCGCGTCATCCGCCGCACGACACATGGATATGCACTTGTTCTACGCATTGTTGAAACCCCGTGATGGACAAAGAGATTTGTAAACGTTGCTAAGAGTAATGTAACAGCCAGACGAACACTGCGTAACCAATAACGCGGCGCCGAGCACAGATATTGTCCGCCACGGCTCAGCACGAGACCTGGGGAGGCACACATTCCGCCGCCAGCCTCGGCCGCTCACTGCTAAACCAGCTTCACTGCGCAACACGTAACCATAACAACGCCGCCATTGTGCCTACTGAATATGGCTGCCATGATGTCATTTCCGCCACATTTTTTACGCCCTGCGCCGGCTGGGCATGCCCTCTCCTTACCTTTTTCCTTCCTCCGTGGACATCTACAATTCTCCTGATTCTCCAGTGGACGCGCATGTGGCGTCACGCTTCGAGAACATTCAACAGCTGACAGAGCATGGGCCGTCGAGCTGTATATATACTCAAGGTCGGCGCTCGCTCGCTCAGTTGCCGCTCGTCGGTTGGTTTGTACGCCGCGTCGACGTCCAAGGTCGCGGTGAAATGAATTCCAACGAATCCACAAACACAATGATCGACGTCCCTTCGACCAGCGCCGCCCTTTCGCATACGTGTGTACGTGTTCACTCATTTAACACCCCCTCCTACAACCACGTTAACCAATTTAGCCATCGACCCAAGTAAGTCGCAATTTAACACCCCATTTCACAACCACGTTAACCAATTTAGCCATCGACCCAAGTAAGTCGCACTTTAACACCCCGTTAACCAATTATATGCTCCGCATCCTCCTCAGTGTTCCCCCGAGGGAAGCTGCGGGCAATTTTTTTGTGTTTTAATCTATAATAGTTTGATTTTTTATCAGGCACCGCAAGTGATGCTAACCTCTCCATCACGCATAATAATAACAAAACAAAGTTGTGAGCAAGCAGGGTAAACAGATGGGCGCCTCCCATGAATCCTGACGCAGTCGAATTTTCTTATCATAAAATGCCAGTTAGCCCAAACCATGCCAGCAATATTATTTAGTGCGTGAATGATGCTTTTTTTTGCAGTAATATTTGAATAATGGGTAAAGGTATTGATTATAAATGAATGTGATGGTAATGTATTCTGCTGTCAACTGACAATTTTAGGCAACTGACTTTTATAGTCATTACCTCGTGTATTACGTTGTTGTACGTGTGTATTACATGCACATTTTTTTTGAGAGCTGAAGAGGAAGAAGATTATGGTGGACATGCTCACGTGCCGTCGTCTCTAGAAGTGAAGAAGTGGGTTCTGCCGCGTCCAGCAGCGATGGACGCAGAGGTCGAGAGTTTTGAACTATCAAGCAGCTTGGCGTAAGTGAATATCAACGCGAACAATTGCGTACGCAGTATTTACAATAAGGGCTTCTCACGTGAGCTGCTGTTTGGTTTGTGCTAGCGGTTGTAAGGCTTGTTTCTTTCACTCCTCGAGGCATAGCGACATGACGTGAAATGCGTTGGCAGTCTCTCAGATAGGGATACATAGATCCCGCCTTTTCTAATGTATGGTCGTCTTTTCTATTGTAAAACAGGAGCCTTGATCCAGACGTGTCGCAAAGCGACGATGGAAGCCCTAGGAGCCTCCCAAAGTGGTAAGTCCTTTCATTGAAGCCACTCCGTGCCTAAGTCATACGTCCAGTTAGTTATAGTATGTGCTTCGTTGCGGCAGGCTTGGTGTGGGCGACCAACACCTCCATTATCATTATAACGTGACGTATGCCGCTAGTTGCGTATCGATCACGAAACACTTATTTGTTCATGTCCAGAGAACTGTGGAGTAAACGACGTGGGCCTAGCTGTTTGATTTTATCGAGCAAATGTTAGCGGAATAAACAAGAAATGGCCAGAGAGCCAGCTAGCAGTAAGCTTTGAATCGGCAAAACCCGCACATAAATGTTTATCTGAAACTCAACCCGATACACCGTCGCACAGCCCTGTTTATTTTTATGTTGATTACGAGCCTTTTCCTGTGGAACGTGGTGTTTTATCAAATATTCAAGTGCCCCGTGGAGCAAGGACGCTTTGAGTCGAACTCTAGGTCAAGACCCGTGTGCACCATTAACCCCACCTACAGATACGTTCCTTGCACCATGGGAGTCGTACAGCATCTTGTTATCGCGTGGCCGTGCTCACGTTGGCCAGACGGGCAGATGTCTGAATCTGTGCCTTTAACGGTCCTGCCTTTTTTCACGCCCTTACGCAAGGATAACAGGGAGTGCGGGTGCTCCGCGGATTTCACAGGCACCACGGTTTTGGTACGTCATTCAGACAAGGTTTCAAGTGATATTTGTAAGTCATTTCGTATCAAAACGGAACGTCACATGTGCGTAGATGTTGATCGTACTAATAAATGAAGTAGTATTTTTTTAAGCCACATCACCTAGCGCATCGCAGGTGTTGTAGGGGGGGGGGGGGGGTCAGGCGATTTTCTAAGCAACGGGTAACGAACTGTCGTTTGATCATTATTTCTGCATATTGACGCATGCGCGGTACTTTCCCTCTGCTTTCCTTCATTAAACTTATGTTGAAAGGGAGCACTTGTGTCGTGTTGGTCGCTTTGCCTCCGTCATGAGTGCGTGCTCTTCGGTAACAATTATTTCATACCAACTCGCCCAGCTTTCCACTTTGCATGTATTGAGGAGTTACGAAATTAACGAAAAAACACCGCTTAAGCCGATATCAACGCCGCTTTGTCTCAAACGCAGGGTGCTGTACGTGCCCATGGTGGCCTCTGCAGTGTTTCTCTTCGTTTTCATCGCGACCAAGCGCGCTGCCAGCTTTCACGATGGCGCCTCGGTGAGCGGCGCCGCCCACCGTAGCGTTGTCATTCAGCCGGTGCTCGAAGAGATACCGCATGTCGAGGTCCACCTGACCGATCGCGTCTACAGCGGCCGCGTCATTTCCGTGGGAAACCGCAAGCTGCATGCTTTCTTCGGCATCCCGTACGCTGAGCCGCCTCTGGGTGGCTTGCGATTCCGCAAGCCCGTTCCCCTGAAACCCCAGCGCACCAAACGTGACCCCCTGGGGCCCCTCATAATGGTTCGCCAGAAGCGGTTCCCATGCCCACAGAACCAGCCCTGGAACCCGCCCAGAGCGCATTCCCTGGACGTCAACAGTAAGCGAGGACTGTCTACACCTGAACGTCTGGGCTCCCGCGGACAGCTCTCGGGTGACGCGCGGTCATACTCTTCATTCACGGCGGTGATTTCCAGAGAGGGCGGTAACGACGAGGCCATCAATGATGGCACCCTGCTGAGTGGCGAAGGTGACGTGGTTGTGGTCGTGCCCAACTATCGTCTGAATGCCTTCGGCTTTCTCAACGGCCATGTCGCGAACGCGCCGGGCAACGTAGGTCTCCACGACGTGATCCTGGCCCTGCGCTGGGTTTACAACAATATCGCGCGATTCGGTGGCAATCCGGACAACATAACGCTCGCTGGCAGGGACGCCGGCGCTGTGTTGGCCGGTTACGTCATGATCTCCCCACTCACGCAGGGCCTAGTGAGACGGTACATTCTCTTGGGTGGGTCTCCCTTCTGGAGCCTACCAGACAACCGAGGAACCAGAAGCGTCGGACAACGTCAAGCTGCTCGCGAGCCGTCTTAAGTGCGACCACGGCGAGGACGTGTTTGATGCCGTCCAGTGTCTCTCCAAGCTCGACTTGTACGAGTACGTCGACTTGGAGGATCTATCGCAATTCGCAATGTACCCGAGCGACCAGGATGACGCGCTGCCTTTCGCGATCCCGGCCGGCCTCGGATCGGTGCCGTACGGCGCTGAAGACGTGCTCCTGGGCAACGAGTTATTTGTGGGCGAGTCCCTGGTCGCGCCTTTTCTCACCATGCCTCTCAGTGGCGTCCTCAACAGGAGTCTGCGATCTTTCGGCTCCAAATTCCTCAGGAAGTTCGGCTTTGACGACGGCGCGGAGGCCATGAAAAGATATGACATCTACAGCGCGACGAACAGGACAGTCGCCTTTGCGGATATGGTCGGTGACTTCGTGGTTCGCTGCCCGTTGCAGTTTCTTGCGGACGAGCTGGCCAGGCGAGGTCGACGGGTGTTCTACTACGTCCTGAAGAGCGAACCGGCCTGGCTCGAGCACACGGATCCGGCGTTCGACCAGAGCCTCCTTTTCGGCTTGCCTCTTGTAGAACACTCGGCACCCAGTGACCTCGTGGCGCTCACAAAAAACGTAATCTACAGCTGGACTACGTTTGCGAAAACAGGGTGAGCGGATGTGTTATTTCATCTAAGGTTTCATGGTGGCTGGTCGATAACTAATGAATTACTTTGCGCACATTAGTTATACGACGGCTATATAATTGGTCAGCCTGTTTTGTTTGTGCCTATGCACTTATTTGACGTGGCGTCCTGGGCGACATGTGACTGGAGTGGACATTCTTTTGTCAATCGCCCTTGCAGGACAACTGCCACTAATGAGCGTTAAATCTGAAATCTGTGGGGTAATATAATCGGCTGAAAATGCAGCGTCAGTTGAGCAGAGGTAAACATTTTAGATCTAGTAATGGAGCTAGATAACGAAGTAATGGAGCTAGATTACGCTACAAAAGTGAATGACTTAGACTAAAGATTTCGGGCTTATGGGGCCAGTTGTGAAGCAATCAAAAGTTACCAAGTCTCGCTGTGGAATAGACAAGTCGTGCATCGAAGTTATATTTAAGAACAGCTGAAAAAATTGACTGCATGTAATGTTAGCAAGTATTTTTTTATATTCCCTCCTGAAGTGAAATGACTACATACGCAAATGTGTCATGAGGAGGGAAGGTGAGGAGTTGGGAAACTAAACCGAAGTTGTAAGTAGTAAATTACAACTTGGAGACGTAATTAATTCCAGAAAAAGGCACAGTGGTAAAATCATAAACAGTGCTTTTTGAGTTGAAGCTTCTGTAATCATAACGAGAACACCATAATGACTTGGCTCGTAGTCAAGGCTTCTTATGGGCACTTGCGGTTGTGTTTATCACCTACAAGTAGATCATCAACTGTACAATTAATGAATATATTTCAAATGACGTTTATAATTGCGCTATTGTAATGTCATAAGTAGCTTCAAGGACATGATACTAGAGGATGATGCACCTTTCTCTTAACTCAATTATTTTCATCACAAAATTTTGCAATTATTGCGCTAATTTCGCCTTTACGATGCGAGAGACACCAGCAAAAAAAAGGAGCCTTCCGTATAAGGTAGCTGATATTTATAGCCCGACACTATATAAAAATCTGTCGAAGCTCATAGTCAGTCCCTTTTGCACTGGACTGGCAAGATGAAAACCGACTTGCCTCATTTTTCTGGCAGGCACCTGTGTCGTCTATACAAATAAGAAAGGCAGGAGAGGGCGGGCATTTTCTTTGTGGGAAGACTGCCACCACAAATACGAAATTAGCGTACCGAATGTCAACTTTAATAACGAAATCTCAGAACAGGAGCTTTCTTGAAAAAATCAAACTAGATGAAGTTCCATTGTCCTCGAACACAATAGTGTAGTCTTCATGTCACTGACGAAAAAACGCCTATACCACAACAGGAGTGTGGATTACCAGTCTTAGTATAGCTGGATTTCATATTTTCGTGTTATTTTTCATTCTTTAAGAGCGTCCCTGTCAAGTTATCCCGGCCTTATTCCTCTTCTAAATGCTCACTCCACGCTTGCGGACATGCACTGCCAGACTCTTTCAGTTCAACTTCCCTGTTGCTCAAGTCTCGCGACTGAGTCTCGAGAGCTGCAGACTGCACTGCATAGCGGTGCAGTGCTTTCTTCTCTCGTTACCTGGCGATCACTTGGTGTTTTCCCTCTAGACCGGTATCCGGCGGGGACTGTGTGCCGTTTCTGTATAGTCCTCTTGTGTTCCATCAACCCCCCTCCCCTCAGAAATGTTGCAGGAAGCAGATAGGTAACGCATTGCGAAAGAGAAGCAGCAGCGTCCTTCAGTGGGAATCGGGCGTTAATGGAGTTCTCAGCCGAAGGGTACACGAGCCTGTGGCGCACGATGCGCTATCCTGACCAGATCTATAGCTGGTACCTGTAGCTGACGCTAGATAGCGCCGCTTCCCGCTGTTTGTGAGCTATGTTTCTGCAGCGCAAATAGATGGGAGGCAAGAGGGAATCGAGATAGCAGAACACGGTATACACCCACAATAAGAACCGGAAAGGCTGCCCCTTTTTAGGAATTCTCCAACTCCATCTTAACATTAACTACACCCAATCTTGAAAACGTTGACCATGAACGTAATCCTCGGACGTCTCACTGGAATGCAGTATTCCGTGTAAGCTGTGCCATGCGAGTATTTAAGTGAATGCCTTGAACGTTGTTGCGCCCAGAGTATGCTCGTGGGTTGCAACCATCAAATCATGGCTGCATCGTTCGATGAATATTGTTTTGTAATTTGGGCTTTCAGTGGTGGCTTTTGGCGCCTGACGCTCAGTTGTCTCTTCCCTATACCGTGTTTACCCAATTTCAACGCGCACCTTTTTTCGGGAAAAATAAACCTTAATGTCGCATGCACGTTAGAATCGGTTGCAGACGTTTAAACAGCCCCATAGCTGTTATTTTTGTTTTTGGGTCATTTAAGTCAAGTGCTCGTTGGAAGCGAGAGTGGGTCGTAGTTGGGCAAATACGGTAGTTGCCAGATCGATCTGCGAATTCAATTTACACCGAAGGGACCATTTACCACTTCTGCCACTTAAACCTGATTGGGTGTTTACAGCCGGCTCAGTGTTTCAAAGCTGCGTTCCGTCATCCTGTGTTTATGCTCTATTATTTCGTGATTTCGCTATGGAACTATTCAGGTGATTCCTATGTGTACTGTTCGAGCTTCTGAAAGCAGTGTAGAACGATCCGCGATGGTACAGGCCTGACTACAAACAAGTAACTTTCAAGCTATGGTGTGTTCGTACGGCATACGTATATATTGGTCCAGTAATCTCATCACTACGCCCAACTACTGAATTACGTTTACCGATTAACACCTACCACTCGTATTTCTGTAAAAAAAAAAATTGGTGAATTGTCCCACTGTTATTTCTTAGTGCCTCTAGTGTATCTCTGTTGAGCACGACGTCGTGGGTTTGATTCATGCGTTTGATGGCCGAATTTGGGTAAACAAGATTCTAAAACGTGGACACTCATGTCAATATAAATGCAAGCAATATTGCAGTTATTAATAGTATACCTGTTACTTGTTAATTGAAGACAGTCGCACAGTAGTTTAAATAGAGCATGCAGTTGTACTACATACTTTGTGAACAACACCAAAAAGAAGATTAGATAAAATAAGACCCGCTTATAGACTAAATAGCTTGTGCTTGAGCTTGTATTGACAATTTGGTTGCTGACTGCGACTGTTTTAAGGAGAAAAAAGGGATATCTTGCCCGATAAAATGGGCTCATTTGCTCCGGTGCAAGTTCTCAGTTTGATGGTGGTGCCCGGTTCTTTCTTACGCAGCCATCTGCGACTTTTCAACAAAACGCCGTGGCCGCCTTATTCCAGCAGCAGGCGTACGTTTGTCGTCCTCGGTCAAGGCAGAGAAGAAATATCCAGCGCCTACCGGGAAAACTTTTGCGACCAGTGGCGCTCCCGAATTGTGGGCGGCTGAGGACGAGACTCTAGATTTCTCAATCAATTTATCGCTGAATTTTTTCTTTTTTTGGTCATTTTTGTTAGAGACAACGAATGACGCAAACTTAAGAAAGATGAAACTTTGCATATGTTCTGACAGCTTGTGGTGAAAACGCAATTCCTGAAAACCATTTGTATTTTCACCGCAAAAAGTTTTTAACTTTCTTTATATCGCTATGCATTTCCGCGGGATAGTGAGTAGCTTTCGAGCTTGGGGATACATAAAGTCTACAGGACATTTTTACACGTAAATCAGTGCGTTTCGAGATCAAATTTAGATCGCGCTGTCAGTGTTCTGATAAAGCGAGAAAATAAAATCGTGGTCTTTTCGTCTGTTCTCGGTTAGCCGAAGAAGGGCGTTTTAAGGCCAAAGCCCTACACGGCTCACAAAACACGAAAATTGACCACTAGTAGCTTCATCGCGTGATGACGGCGCCATATGACAGCATCATGTCATCACAATAACCAAAATATGTGACGTCATTGTGATGTACTATGACGTTATCGTGATGTCACATGAGGACCGCATAGCATGGCATCGTTGCACGGTCATGAGCGAGCCGATCCCAGAGGCAGTACCAGATGAAGTGCAGGAAGCTTGCAGTACCTCCCGATGTGGAAGACCGTAGCGTCTTAAAATTACTTACAGGGGACTCTGGCCCTGCGATCCTTCAGCGACCATGAGAATGATGGGTAGCACTCGGGTTCGCCTAGTCTTCGTGCTTGCTGGCAGCGAACACACTTTTTGCTTTATTTATTGTTTTGTTTTCTTTTCAATATATGAACAAACCCTTATGAACTTTGTGACCCATTTGAATTGGTGAGCCTAAAAGGTTAAGATGGTGAAGTAAAACTGCTGAACATTTGCCGATTACTGTGTCGTGACAAAGCAGCTTCAAGCCATGCGAAGCCAAACAGAGCCGACAATACAAAGAATAAACAAATACCATTGCTGTCGGGAGAATCGCAGGGATCTGTCCT